GCTTCTTCTTCTTTGGGACTGTCCAGGGTATATATGCTTGAGTTATCTGGTTGTATAACTGCCTGAAATGAGTTCATTCCTCTTCTAATGATGCCCCTGAGTCAATTATCCAGTTTCCAGCCGATGCTGTAGAGTTTATCGCCTCCATGTCCGCCTTTCATATGCTAGAACTAGCCGGCGCAACTGTTTTACAGGCTATCTCAGCCATGAACTTGAATAAGATGACTGCATGATCACTACTCCCTGAAGGTGCGAGAAAAGCCATTTGACCGACATCATGACCGTGTGTGAAGATTAAGTCCAAGAGAATCGAGGAGCTTCGCAAGTCATATTTGATAGGATCTCTAATGTGCTGGAATAAAGCTAATGCAACTGTGGTTTCTAATAGTTTGCAATCAAATGACGTTTTTGATAACCCTACTTCTAAGTTTACCCAGTTTGTATACGGTGCATTAAAGTCGTCTACCATAGGTCTTTTCCCCTATTCACCAGGACTTAAGTTTGCTTAACAGGAAGTTATCTACTACACATTCTGGACTGCAGTGTACTACACCTAATTAAATATCTTGCCATCTACATCTCAGCCTGTAGTGCATCAGTTCACATGTCCCTGAATCACCTATCACTGTCTCAATCGCTCGTATGGTTTAGGCACTTTTCGTGTACCAGTCGACTGAATTTCGTTATCAAACACTTCTGATGTTAACCATGTTTCTGAGACATCAATGACATTCGGGTTTTCTATATCCATCATTGTCTTGAGCTCTGCCATTTTATTTAGCAGGCATTTTTGTAGCACACCTTTAGTTCTGTGGAGGACTTTCCATTACCACCCAGAGTAGTTTGGAGTCGTTTTGCTCCGGACTTTTACAATTTCAAAACCCTTTAGTACGAGGTTTCTTTCACTGTTTCAGTGGCGCTCATTTCTTTCTACTTCTACCGATCGTCTCTTAATATGATCAACCAGGCTGAGATCCTCAGGGACGTATATTCCGGATCCGATCAGTTCGCGTGTTTCCCAGTATTAGATCTTTTTCTTCAGCCGATGCAAAGACAACATTCAAGAGACGGCTTTTCTGAGTACTTTCAGAATCCGCCTTTTGTCCTGTTTTATAAAACTTACAGATGCTAACTTCTGAAACTTTCCGGGAGTACCTTGCTTATTAAGGATTTAATGTGACTGAGGTCATGCTCAAATCTAACCTTTGGTTCCTTTTCAGAAGATCCCATTAACTTATGAAAAATGACTGACTTATCAGCGAGGTCAGTCTTAACACTCTGTGGAATTTTAATTCCTGAAATCGTCTTTTCCCTGTAATCCGTTTCCAATTCGGCGCAATCGCAGGAGTTGCATTCTGTTTCTTTACTTTTCTTTTCCTGAGTGTGACTGTGAGCCACTCATTTGCCCTATTTTATCTCTTGATCACATCCTCTATGCTACTCATACTTGGCTTCCCAGAAGTTTGTTTTACTTTGATATGTAAATCTGGAACTGAAACCGTAGATTCACATACCTTAGTACTGTCTATAATTAGTTTCTTCTCTACGCGATTTTTCTTTTTCCTTGTGATCATGCCTACATCCGTATGCTCAATATCTACTTCCCTGCTGGGGCCCACCTATATGGTCTCATCTAAATCCGGATTAGTTTATTGTTGGCAGTCTCTGGCTAATGGATCCGGAGTATCTTGGGTAGACAGATGTTTATAAATACCTGCACATTTTTTGTGATGCTGGTAGTAGTCGTTATCCAAGTTTCAACTCCTTATGACAGGGTTATTTTAACTTAAGTGTTGAAAATTCTGATTTTATTCTTTAGTGACAGTTGCTTTGAGTTCCAAATACGTTTCTTTTGTAGGAACGCTATTCTATTTTAAAACACCTTATCTCTGTACTCTGCCAATCACACATAAGGTCCAAACCAAACCCTTACGTTTTCTCGGGATACACAATACTATTAAGTCACTCAGTCAAAATCTGACGGTACACGTTATCGATTCCAGTCATTTCTCTTTACTCCTTTATTCTTATTCGATTCTTAATTTTATTTGATTTCTCACCTTATTAAATCTACTGATCTCGTCTTTTCATGATATTTCGGGAAATTGGTTCTGGGTGTAGGGTCACTGAATACTGAACAGATCATTGATCCCTGCCAAGGTCAAGGGTAGTCAACGCACACAAACCAATCGTACACCATGGACTGGCCCACGCTGCAGTGGTTATTCTTTCACTTCTGTACTTCCATAGTTGTACCTTAACTAATATATTCTTGTAATCACATCCTTTGTGTTGTACAGTCTCCATAGCATCCATTATCCTTTGATGCGTCGATGGTTCAATGCACGTAAGGGCTGGTCGCGAGGTGTGACTTCAGCGTTAGTTGGTTCGTCACCATTCTCGTCTAACTCTAGTAGGCCCCCAATCATTTTGACAGATCATCAACGTAGATGGTCTTACACTGGTGAGCAAGACTTCGAATAACGCAACCTATCTTGATGATCTTTCTTATTGCATTTTATACTTATTATTTTCATTCTTAACTTCGGCTATATTTATCAGTTTCTGTGAACATTCGTTGCTTTATATCAATGTTGATTAGTATTTCAACTGAAATAGTTAGTTCAATCGATAGAACTAACCAATCAACTACGACTATAATCGACTATCGTGGTTCTTTAGCAAGCATTAGCAGCATGTAAATGCTCCTGTGTAATATGTCTGTTAAAATATCAACCACTCGTAAGTATAGCCTCAAGGTAACACGAACGCTTATCTGTTTGCAACTTATCTACTCGTATAACCAATACAGGATTAACTGTCAATTATAAATTCATCTTTCTGCTTAATCACTATCAACTAACTACTATCAAAAACTATTTACTAGAATATTTTACTTTCTTGACCACTGCCTGCCTAATTTCCAATTTCTGAGTTCCATGGCGAATCAGAAGATACGAATGCTACAAATTTACGGTGAGTTTGAACTATAAATTTCCTGCAATGTTAGATCTTGTTTAGACTGTTTCGCCAGGCAATGCTACGTGTTTGGCTCAAATTGAGTTTGGACGTATACCAATTCAGTCTACAACGTTTCGCTAATCTACGAATTTATTAAACAAATTTCAATTACTTGGGAGCAAGAGTAACCCAGGCGAATTTCATAACTGTGTTAAGTAATTTCGTATAATGTTTATAATGTCTAATAACATTTCGCGGCTACATTCACTTAGAGTAGTCATACATTCTGTCACTGCCGTCAAATGTTAGTCGAAACTATGTACATTTATGACTTGTAAGTCAACATACTCCGAAAAAACGTATTTCATGTACACGAGCAATCTTAGTCCATGTCTTAATGAGACACTTCGTCGTACTTGATGTCACTTAGAGCTAGATAATATGCTTTTTTTACGAAACGATCACGTTATCTAAACCTAAACTTTAGTTACATTGGTGGTTACCATTTAAATTATTGTTTACTATGCGCTTTGTATTTGCTGTTATCTCACAGTAAATCATGGCTCGATTTCCTTATTGTACGAAAGTCACTTCAATTCCGTCTTCGGCTTATTCACATGCGATACGGGTTTGGAAAATATTTAAACGTCTTCTGAAATTCTCCACAAACCCCACGATAGTCTTCGTATATGTTTGCTACTGCACATCCAATTGCTACATAAACAATGCCCAAACGAATGTCCAGTACAATTGTCAGTATACGAAATGATATTACTTCGATGTGACATTACAACACATCCGAACTATTGTAGTTATTCAACTTCGACGTCGTATTTTTATGTCATGAAGTATTGTTTCCGCGTGGCTGTTATCTAACAGATGATTTCGGTACATCAATCGGCTGTTCAACTACTCGACGATCTAAAGCCTGTCCAGTTCAATTGGTGGTTTGACGACACTCATTCACGCGAATCATCGGTTTACGCAGTCGAGCGCATCTCCTGCAAACTGACAACTATATTGTCGTCTCGACCCCAACACTGACAGCATTTTTCACCGATGTCATTGACATGAGTTCAGAGTGACACTCTTGGTTTCTTATGTTCTTTTCGACATTTTTCGGTTCACTCATCAAACACGTGTGCAGCACTCACCAATTATCATCTTTTAGAGATTTCATCGTGCCACCTTTCGCTCTTGCTCTGTATTCTTCGACCCTTATTGATTTTTACAGCAGTTATCAATTTTTTCTAAACTGGCTGCAAGTTGATCAGAAGCTTCGCACAAGGAAACCACGGCTTATCTTCACGGTTATACTTCTGTACTTACAATTAGTCTGTTAAATATAGATATAACTAGAAATCGACGCTTACGAACAGTTGTCAACGACACTTACTGACTTTCTACTGTGAACCGAGGGCAGTACAAACATCGGCATCGATTGATAATACACTTATCGTACTATCACTGTGACATCACTATTTTTGCAGCGGACTCAACGTTTAGCATCTGAGGACCTCAATCACTTTTCAAAGCTAATTATTTCAACGCGACTTGATAAAACTCTAAAATGTCATGTTTCTTTTTCTATTATTTCTATATTTTTTTCGCTTAACATTCAACCAACGTCCCTGTTACATGTTATTACTCGTTGTTTCCCGATCAGTTTCTGCAGCCTCCTTTCCGTTTCTTTTACAGCTCGGCAATACCCGGAGGATTCATAATAATCGTCTGGCAACCTCCGGCGCGCGACTACTCCCAACATTTTTGGCATCGATTCAAACGGCCGTTGAATCTGGTGAGGGAGTATTGTAGGGTCACTGAATACTGAACAGATCATTGATCCCTGCCAAGGTCAAGGGTAGTCAACGCACACAAACCAATCGTACGCCATGGACTGGCCCACGCTGCAGTGGTTATTCTTTCACTTCTGTACTTCCATAGTTGTACCTTAACTAATATATTCTTGTAATCACATCCTTTGTGTTGTACAGTCTCCATAGCATCCATTATCCTTTGATGCGTCGATGGTTCAATGCACGTAAGGGCTGGTCGCGAGGTGTGACTTCAGCGTTAGTTGGTTCGTCACCATTCTCGTCTAACTCTAGTAGGCCCCCAATCATTTTTACATAGATCATCAACGTAGATGGTCTTACATGGGAAAAAGTCTTTTGTGATCGTCTTATATTCATTCTGTATGAATATTGTATTGATTTTGAAGAAAGTTAAGTCTATCTAAATCTTCTGTAGAACCATTGCAAATCAGTAAACATCGTTTGAAAGTTTTTAAGTCATAATATTCGTTTAAAGGTTAACCACGATTTGTTCCGTATATCATTTTATTATTTATTTTAATTATATTCCTTTCGACTCGTAAATGTGTCTTTGTAGGTGTGTTTCTACTTAATTGTTGTATCGTGAACTGCTCTTGTTCAGTGTTCAGTCGTTAACTGATGTACAAATATCATCTGGATCCAATTCTATTGATGTGATCGGGTTTTCCTAATTATTGTTTGTGTGGAATTCGTTGTGGTATAGTTTTTATGGGTAGCGAGGATGAAGTAAAACGATGGTGCTCTAGTTGATATTTCGATTTGAATCTTCGAATTGACATGTGTATACATTTCCGAACCTGAAATAAAAATAAATATTTTGCCGGTAGAATTTAGTCATAAGTTTTTCATAATTTATTGTGAGTTAATAGTAGTTCTTATGAATTATAATAACGTATTCTTCAGGTGCTTGGATGGGAGGCACATTTTGTGTCAAGTTTACTGATACTACCCAACGGCTCAAAGGAGAGGTTGATAGGGAGCCGAACTCAGAACTTAGTGGCTAAACGCCCTAATCACTAGACCATCTCTCCACTAGCAGCCTCGTTTAGTAAATGAATATAGATAGCGGTTTATCACAGCTGATGTAAACCACTTGCTTTCGGCCTATGGCTTTCGGATATCATCAGTAAGTCTTATACATCATATTCAGAGATTTGGTGCTACATCCGAGATTCGAAACTTTCAATGAAATGTTACCATTGAGGAAATAACTATGTATGTTCAAATGTTCCGTCCAAATGTGGTGTTTTTACCGAGAATACTGAAACTGTTTTAAGTACAACATCTATATAAATCTCTCTATAAATGCACTGAACTCCAATAATAATTCTCCAGTGTACCAGCTAACCTAAATCATTGAGTATACTTCAAATGTTCTTACTTAGTTACTGAAACCTACTACCTCTCTTGGGGTATAGTTTGCTAACCAGAGGGCTTCAAGTATCTGTTTTGTGTTCCTTCTCAGCTGTTGCTAAGTTGTTTCCATATTCTTGGTGTCTGCCTCCAATTCCCGAATCCATGTGTTCTTTGATATGCCTCTTTCCCTTTTGCATTGGGAACTTCAATTCAGGGCTTGCCTCTTGATTCAGTTTAGTGACTTTCTCAGTGTGTCCTATTCATCTCCTTTATCTCTTTCTAATTTATTTTTCAACCGGTAGCTGGCTTGTTCTGTTCTGGCCAATGGATCTGGAGTATCTTGGGTAGACAGATGTTTATAAATACCTGCACATTTTTTGTGATGCTGGTAGTAGTCGTTATCCAAGTTTCAGCTCCTTATGACAGGATTATTTTAACTTAAGTGTTGAAAATTCTGATTTTATTCTTTAGTGACAGTTGCTTTGAGTTCCAAATACGTTTCTATTTTAGTGTCCTTATCTTTGATTTGTTCAACTGATACTTTACTGTTTGTATGAAACCTCACATGCCTATCGAAGTGGATGTATTTGTTTGTTAACAGCTCTATATCCTACTGAGCTTTGCCATCACATGTGATTTCTTTTGAGGTGGTTGTGCCGTATTTTATAATCTTTCTTTCTGTTTTGTGAGTTCTCAGGCTTACTGTTACAGAAGGCATTGTTACACTTTGTCTTTGTATACAATTGTTTTCGTATATGTTATAGTAGTTCTAACTCGTCTGCAAAGTTCATTTCCCCCAGCAGTCATCAAGTTGTTTACTGTGATCGGCACTTTTCCTAAGATGTGGAGGTCGTAAAAATCCAATCAATCATCAGAAGCAAGAGAAAAAACGAGAGTAAGCAACCTTGTCTTGAACTGGCCTTCACTTGAAATCCATCTACGAGCTACCCTCTATACAAGACACTGGAATCCTGTCTGTTCTAGAAATCATATATTGTAATGGTCGTCCTCTTAGGTACTCTTTAGGGACGAGGAAGACTTCACTTGGTTTTCTTATCTACATTCACAAAAGCTTTTACATGATCAAGAAGGTTGTTTTTTAACTATAAGTTGCATTCAATTATTTGTTCACCAATAATCCTCAGTGTCGCGATTTTGTCCGTGATCGATTCTTACGAAATTCAGCTTTTTGATCCCAAATTTGAACGGCTGCTGAATCTTTCGTTCGGTTTAGCAAGTGTTGGAAACAACTTGGTGCTAACAGTAGTATGATGTCTCTGTAGTTTTCACATTTACTAAGATCTCCTTTCTTTAATATGTTGAAAAGATATATCTCTTTCCAGTCAGTTAGTACTTATTTTTCCTCCCAAATCTTTCTAAAGGACACAAAGAGCTTCTTTACAGTTACTTCCATGTCTGGCTTTAGTGCTTCAGTTGGTATTTTGTCTGGTCCTGCTCCTCTGACATTCTTGATATATTTGTTGACCTTGCTAATTTCTATTATTTGCGAGTTAACATCTATAGAAAGATATGTGTGTGCTGCTTCGATGTTCGGTAGGTTCAGTGGGACCTATCTATGCAAGTGCTCTTCAAAGTGCGCCACCCACTTGTCTTACTACTTTCGAACCTCAGTAAATGGTTCTCCTTCTCTATTCCTGAGTGGTCATCTTGGTCTATCCAATTTTCTACTAGCTACTTAGTTTTATCATTTAATCCCTTTATATTTACCTTATTTAATCTATTTGAATATACTGAATAAATCGTCAAACAATTTCTTCAGTGAAGGAATTGTTTTTAACGTGTTCATTTTCAAAGTTGTATAACCGTATATATTTGTGGCAAATATGGATCAACGAATAATTGTATGTCTGTTGGAAGTTAATTTGTTGTTACGTGAATTTCGATTCTATCATTCATATTGCGGAAGCTTTCGCTATTCACAGCTTTCAATTCGGACATCTTAATTAAGTTAATTTGTTATTGTAACACGATTTGTCACTATATTTGTAGCATTATAAACGCCTTTAAAATCAGTAAATATTAAAACAAAGTCAATTGAACTCATGACTCATGATCTCAACTCTATAAAATTACTAAAATCTCCACAAAACCCCTTCTGATAATGATCATGTGCTCACTAGTGACTGACTCCATGAGGTATTTCCTGGAGTTCTAGTGAGAAGCAGTAACCGGTGGAGTTCAACCAGGTCTGTTGTGAGATAGTAACTCGCTGATGACATTGGTGAATGGTTGCTCAATTTGGTGGATCAGTTGAAGATAGACATTAACACCGTTGGATACCGGCTCAGTGGTCTATCGGTTAAGGGCTCTGGCTCGAGACTGGTAGGTCCTGGGTTTCGAATCTCGCGAGTGCGGGATCGTGGATGCGCACTGCTGAGGAGTCCCATAATAGGACGAAACTGCCGTCCAGTGCTTCCAGGTTTTCTATGGTGGTCTAGCTTCAATCGACTCATGATCTCAACTCTATAAAGGAGAATTTGTCAAAATTATTTCCAGTAATCATTATGAAAAATTATTTCCATAGTTGAAAGCGTGAGTCAGTTGAAGCTAGACCACCAGGGAAAACCTGGAAGTACTGGACGACCGTTTCGTCTTATTGTGGGACTCAGCAGAGCGCATCCACAGTCCCGCACTCGCGAGATTCGAACCCAGGACCTATCAGTCTCGCGCCAGAGCACCTAACCGATTATTGTTTATGTATATAGAGTGATTGAGGTTAATCACCCCCTATAACTATATTTTTTTATATTTATCAGCATCAGATAAATAAATATCACATGATCATTAGTCGTTATACCACGATAATTTTAAAGGTTAACTACTAATGTTTAACTATATTCAGATGGAAAAAATTTGTAACTTAAAGTGCATTTTTTCACACGATTTACCCAGTTGTAAACAACAACTAATATGTAACTTAAATTTCATTTTAATACTTAAGTCGAAGTCTCCATATTTTAATTTTTTTGTTATATTAATATTTTCTTACATGAAATGCAGTTTGTAGGTTTTCTTTAGAAAACAAAAAATAAGTCATATGTTATATGTAATTATATAATTCATGCGTTCTTAATTGTATGGTAATATAATCCTTTGTAATGTAGTTTCGTCATTGTGATACTATAATTCAAAAGGCTTGTAATTATGTCGAATTTGTTTGAACGAAATCTGTTTCTGGGTAAAAAGGTCTACGTTTCCTCACATTTGACATTTATATCATTTATACGTAAAAGTTAACTTTGGATAGTGAAAAATATTGTTTCTGAGTAAACGTTCGTTGTTACAGGAGTTTAAAATAACAACGATTTCAATTTATTCTTCAATGTCATTTAGTATCTTGTCCTTTTCGCGAGGTCCTGATCAAATTTTCAAGTTGACTGACTTTTCATTATTTTAAATAAGCACTTGAAAATAAGATTTTAAATTATCGTAAATAAAGTTTTCTACACTTTCTAACCGTAGAACTTGATCAGGTTTCTCAACTTACGAATCTGTGACAAGGAAGTTCACTAAATATCAAAATATACTGAAAACAAGAGTTCTGGTGTTTTCTTAAGACATGCAAGTCATTTCTACAAAGTTCTACATTGGATATTTTATGAAAATTCTCATTATGAAATGATATTAAATAAGAAATCAATGAGTCAGTATGAAACGAAGTAGTAAGAATTGATCTATTGAGTTCTCTACAACAACCGTTAATGAATTATTGAATTGTTTGAACAGTATTTCACTTAAACTAGTACCAACTTATATAAAAAATGTGGTTGCACGAAAATTGGTGCAATGGAACCATTAGTACTCCAAAGTAATAACTGTTTTGTCTAACTTCTAAGCGGTCTATACCATAAATATTACGTATGCATTTAATAGCCAAGTCGTTCCCAAAAATATACATTGAGTTTATCATGATGATAACAAATGAGATTCAAGTTGGCCAATAACTTAAATAATACAAACTTACATCTTTATTCATAAAATAATATATCATAGATATAATAAATCCTTGCCATGTTGGCAGCACTCGGCGTATTCCAGAAACAATAAAAAATCCCAAAGGATGTTTTGGTATTGGTAAAAGTACAATAAAATTAGTAATTCCTAATAATGGCATTAAAAGGACAGCAGCTTTTACAGCTTTTCTAAAAGCAAAAGACAAATATTAGTATATTTGTTAAAATAGGACTATTTCTGAATTATAAAGTTGTTTATTAATCAACTGTTTACATTTTGATTTTTTAGATTTTTCAGTGATCTCATTATGATGCATAAAAGTCAAGTCGATTGATGTCCCATTCTGATGTCAGTCAGTCACAACACAGAACTTCGTACGTACGTACATCATTCCGAGTTGCCATACCACATTATCACAGAGATACAGTTGTCGATTCAAATCCCATAGTGGTAGAAGTAGTAAAAATATAAGCAGTAGTCGGAAAGATCAGGGTTTGAAGATGTTATTGAAGGAGTATAATCCAGTGAAATAAATATGGAGAGAGAAAAAAGAAAGGGACATGAAGAATCCAGAAGATTAGAATTTGGTAGAACACAAGGAGTGGATGCACCTTCTCCATTGCAAACGATTTTGAGTCATGTCATTCAAGGTCTCTTACCATCGGTTGTTATCATCTCGCGAATCCCAACCAGGTAGTCTACACCTACCAACATGACTAAGTCCATTTGTCAGTTACTTCATGGATTTGTGCCATGTTTTGGTCTGGTCGCGTTTGGCTTTCTTCCAACCTACTCCTACACCATAAAACATTGCACGTCGGGGTAGTCAGTGGTTGGGCATACGTAACACGCGTCGCAGCCATCTCAACTGATGAAGTTTCACTTCTTCATCAATCCTGATGTACTGGAATAGATTTGGATGAAAACATATAGTGTATAAAATCAGCAATTTCGCCGTGTCATTTTTTTTACTTTACTTTGCCTTTGCATCAATAAAGTCTTATCAATTTACACAATGTTCTTAATTATCTACTGGGTTAAGTGTAGGACTAGGACTGAGATTAGCTGTTAATGTCTAATAATTTCAAACAAAATGTTTGTTGGTTTTTCAAAATTATTCTAAACAGTGCTGATAACTGTGGCTTCTTCGATTTACATAGGTTTTGATAAAGACTTCCACTTTGTATCCCATTGAGTCAAACAGATATTATAATCTATGTTAGCTACACTGAATAAATACTAAAATCAAATAAACGAAAATCAAATTAAAAGAGTATATGATTTATGTTTGATTTTTTTTCTAATAAATTGCGTTTGAAAATTCGATATTCTGATATCAAGAAGCAATGTTGCACCTTCGTTTGATAACATCGCTAAGATAGTGGTACTTTTGATTTTTTTTACATATTCTCCAGTCTACAGATTGTAACTGCACCATTCACTGAAATTAAGATACTCCTCTGTTAGCATCTGATTATCGAGCTTATCTGGTTCTTATGCTGTAAACATAGATGACCAGATTTTGTTACATATTGAGATAAACTACATATCTACTAAGTGAAAATTTAAACCAGTCCCAAGCATAGGAACCTTAGATCAGGAACGGTGACACAGGCTGTTTCTGTGGAAGTAATGTTTTTAAATGATACTGAACTGAAATTGTTCTGCTGATGGTGCGTTAGCTCTGAACAAACATATTGTCTTCTGCTGAGTTGGTTCCATTATGTGTTGTTATGATTTCCATATTTCATGTGGTTTGATATTGGTATTAGAAGCGGCATCTCCGTAATCGTACAATTTGGTTATTGATCTGTAATTGACAAATTTAGGGATTGAACTGATGTGCTAGCTGAACTCCCCGATAGTAATAAACACTTTCCCAGTACCTTTACTGCAATGCTATCTTATTGCTAGTAGTTACTTACTTGCGCCTGTTACTTCCAATGGAGCATAGACCACCGACCAGCATTCTCCAACCAAACCTGTCCTGAGCCTTCTTCTCTAGTTCTGTTCAATTGTTGTTCATTCTTTTCATGTCTGCCTCCATTTCTCGGCGTAATATGTTATTTGGTCTTCCTCTTCTCATATGGTCTTGAGGATTCTAAGTGAGTGCTTGTCTTGTGACGCAGTTAAGTACTTTCCTCAATATGTGTTCCATTAACTTCCAGTACTTCTTCACAATTGATTGATCACTGGGTGGTGATCAATCTCAAGCGTGTCAGGTCCTTCTTAGTGCTGATCGAATGCTATCGATCGAGCTGCAATGTAACCACCAGTCTAGGTGGCTCGACACTGCTTGCACTATGTATATTGAGGTAAGATGGTGGTTGGAGGTGGTCAACAGGAAACCCTGGACCCGGGTTTCGTGCTACTTGGCACTCGTCAGCAAGGTGTACCTGTTATCCTGAGGGAACTGATGCTCCCTGGCGGATTCGATCCCGCGTCACTCAGCTTCACAGTCAGAGACGTTACCACTGAGCTATTCGGGCCGCGACCAACCTCCTGTAGGACTGAGATGTAATCACAATTGATTGATCACTGGGTGGTGATCAATCAATTGTGATTACATCTCAGTCCTACAGGAGGTTGGTCGCGGCCCGAATAGCTCAGTGGTAACGTCTCTGACTGTGAAGCTGAGTGACGCGGGATCGAATCCGCCAGGGAGCATCAGTTCCCTCAGGATAACAGGTACACTTTGCTGACGAGTGCCAAGTAGCACGAAACCCGGGTCCAGGGTTTCCTGTTGACCACCTCCAACCACCATCTTACCTCAGTACTTCTTCCTCTGATGAATGGAATCTGGTCTGTCCTCTCCCATAGTAGGTTGTTACTGATAGTGTCTGGTCAACGGATCCGAAGTATTTTGTGTAGACAGCTGTTAATAAACAACTGTATCTTCTGGATGACGACTTTCGTAGTTGTCCACGTCTCCGCCCCATACAGTAGAACTGTCTTGACATTTGTATTGAAAATTCTAACTTTGATGTTGGTTGACAATTGTTGGGTTGAGTTCCAGATGTTCTTCAGTTGTAGATATGCTGCTCTTGCTTTGCCGATGTGCGCTGTGCTGATGTGCATCTGATCCACCATGATTATCAGCGATGCTGTTCAGATATGTTAAGGTGTGATGTGATTGGTGCATGTGGTGTTGTATCGGATAATCTTGTTTTTCTCTTTGTGTCTGTTGAGACATACTGCTGCTGAGGCTGATGGTACACTGGTCGTCTCCTGCATTTGTTATTGTGTGTGTGATAGAAGAGCCAGATCATCTGCGAAGTCTAGATCGCCCAGCTGCATCCTATCTGTCCACTGTATCCCGTGCTTCCTATTGCTATTAGCACCTAGCAGTAATGTCTACATGAATGGACACAGGTTTGTGAATCTTTCTTATTTTCTAAGCTTTTAGTTTTTTAAAAAATCGTATTCTTATTGATCACGTTAATTAATTATTTGAGTCAATAAAAATTGGAATTACTTTAAATGAATCTCACTACTGAGAATGATCTTATTGTCAACAATTTTACCAAAAGCGTCATTCGGCAACTGCTACTAATATCATTCTTCATAATGTTTATATGAATAATAAGCCTGTAGTTTTAAAAAACATGGGTTCTTCCGTGAGACAAATTGTGCAATCCTGAAAATGATATATCAAACAGACATGGAGTTATCTCTATGAAAACTTAAGTTTTATCTATAAATAGAGTATCACTATTTTACTCAGGGTATTTTATTGATATTCACTTTCGTAAACAAAATAACATTCATTGTAAAAAAATAGCAAATTGAAAGTAAACACATACTTTAATTTCAGAATTTCCGGTGCATAATTTGTCTGAGGCCTTCGAACAAGAACTCGAATTACATTAATGAGGAAAGCCATATTCGTCTAATAAATGTTTTTCAAATAAAGAAAAAATCTCATGTCATAAAGAAGCAAATAAATTACTTGGATAAATAAATGAATTGTACGTCACAAATATTAGAAAGAATGCTCTCGGTGATCTATGCTTTAATACATCAAAAGTTTTTATGCGTCATTCAAAAAGAATAAAGTTTGAAAGAAGGAATTTCTAACAGCATTATTTCGTTATTCTTATGGATATTATAGACGGTCAAATTTCAACAGAGATTTGTAATGTAACAAAGCAATTAAATTATCGAAATGAAACATATTGAATTCATTAAGTAGTGAATGTCAATCTCTTGTTTCTAACAATATGATTCTTTGTAGGTTTGGTTTACTTGTAGACGAACAAAGTCCTTAAAATCCTAGAAAAAAGTCCTAAAAATCAATTGATCATATTCTCTAAATATTATTATTCTTGTCTTGTTTAAACTAATCTGACTGTTAGTCGTTTAGTTATGCTAATGATGAAAACAGTCTAATATTTTAATTGACGTCTTGGTACTTGGTATAGTTTTAAATTTATTTCAGTCTATATATTAAAAGCATAATAAATTATAAAAGTGGTATTCTATGTTTGAATAATTACTGTCAAAATTATTTCAATATCTCAATCAAGGGTGAGAACATGAAAAAAATAGCTTACCGATAGTAAAGTTAATCGGAAACTATCTAGAATCCAGTAAGTTGAGTGAAATGTATAAAATGACCAGCTTCTTGATAAGTAAAATAAATATAAATAAAACTGTAGTATAGTTTGTTTATTATATTTCAATAAATGAAGATGTGAATAGAAGCCTAAATAGAATTTTACTTTAAAATAGTAATTTGAGTATGTCAAATAAGGGAAATATTCAATTTGTATGATCAAAAATTTTATGCACTACATTTTACTGTAACTATTTTAGGCAAGTTATCTAGTCAATGTTTGAAGACATTAGCTTACTTCTCGATGAAAATAATAATTAGTACAACTCTGGGATTTCAATTTACTGTGCATCACTGTGACTTGTAACATTATTCTCTTATATATATGTGATCAGAAATATGGTCAAATTTGTAGTTTAGTTAAATTTCTAAATCCATTCAATAAAAGTAGGTTTTCTTTGTATTCAGGGTATCAATACTGAAATATCGAAATGTCAACATCGACAAATTCCAGTTTTTCATCTGTGTACAAGATATTGAGGATAAAGCTATCAAGTTGAAGTTTTCTATTTATTATTGTCTTCTAATTTGTTACTAAGGTTTGAACATTCGTCTCCGTTTGTATATGGCGTAAGAAATATTCTCAGATTTAATGAACAGTAAATTATCTGATAATATGAAACAACGCCACAATGTGCATGATTAATCATTTTGTATTTTGTTTATTAATTGGGGTATCAAAATTAGAATTCCTATCTCTCTAAGGAGTCGGTTGATATCATTCCATGGATAAAAAATATACTCAGTAAGTAAATCTAATTAATACATGGCTTTAAATATGCCAAGAACTTCAATCTCGCGCACAAGCGCTCAACCTACAGGTTTTCCATGGTGGTCTAGCTTTAATTGACTCATGAACTCAACTACTAAATTATTACAACTTTTTAGTTAATCTTAAGATTGTTCCGAAAATACATTAAAATCAAGAGAAGCTTAGAATTTACTACATATTTAAGTAATATTGAACTTACACGTCTATTTTATTTGTACACAGCCATACAGTTAGCCATAGTCCTGTGATGAAAATAGGTACAACTGTAAGAAGGGACAGAAGAATAATTAAATGTCTAGAAACCAGTCGTTACGAGTATTTCTAAAGGAATTTATTAAAGTGTATGCTGAAATTTCCTATGATACTTATTTAGTAGGATTTTAAACCCCAATGGTGACTGATATATAGGAATATTGTTTAAACTTTGAGTCACAAAATTAATAATGTTTTCATCTGCCAGAAAGTATCAGTACAAATGTTTACCTTTCCTTAAAGCACCTTAAACAATATATTTTGAACAGTAGTCGTAAAATACATTCCTCCAACGTTTTGTTCTACTCTTATATCGTCAGTTGTATGTAATTCCAATAATCCAAATAGAAATTAACGTTTTAATTTCAGTAACTAAACTATATCAAGCCTTTGTTTCCGATAATGTTATTATTGGTAGCTTTAAATTGTTTGAAGTTGATACGAGTCATTAAGATATAATTTGACTATTTTATTGCGTGAATCTTGTCGTGTTTTGTTTCGTTCAAATTTATTAATAGGATTAGGTGCGTGGAATTAAACAAAATGTTTTATAGTACTGTCTAAATCTGTTTTTTAACAAATTATATTTCAATGTAATGATGGATAGTGGCTGGAAGTGGAATCCAGAATGCGCGTTTCATCCTACTTGAGACTCGTCAGCTGGATGTACCTGCATCTCAGAGTTGATGTTCACTGTGGTACTCGAACCCAGTACCGTTCTCTTCAAACGCCATTGCGCTATCCACTTAGCTACTGAGTCCTGATAGCTACCTGCTTGTGCAATCGTGTGAAGTTATATTCACTTGGTGTTGTTTACTTGTATCTTCCCATATTTATTTAGGACTGCAATTGATCAGTCTCTTATTGGCATATGTGAATCTTGTGCGGACTGCCTCGATATTGCCTGAAGTCACAAGCTTTATATGCGATGATGGGGAGATACAAGTAAACAATACCAAGTGAAATTATTTTTAAGTTGCAAAGATCAGACTTACTTCTAGCTATTCAATCAAGTCTTGATAAAGTTTCCTTTGTTTATAATTATTAGTTTCACTTGGTCTACAATTCCATCTCTTACAAATTTTCACATAATTAAGTAATTGTTATCTATTTTATTTTATAAATTCTTTATCAAATAGGCCCATTTAGCGAAAATAAATAGCTCTATATTAGTATTATCCTATAAATTGTATTGGAATATTTTAGTTACAAACGTGAAAGCTAATCAAATTTATTGTAAATGTGCTATCCATATTACTTCTATCATATTTATTTACAAAACAAAATATTTACTTGCTATTTGTGTGATGCATTTTATTGAGAATCGACTGGATTAACATTCTAAAGTATAATATATAATTCGAAAAGAAAATAGAATAATGTAGAAAATGGTATTATCTTTCGAAAATAGTTCAAGACTAATTAATCATTTTTATTTACTCTTTAGATACAATTACCCAACTATATTGATATTTGGAATTCGATAGTTTTCACTCACAAACACGTTCAGATTAATCGCCTGTCACAATGCAACAGACAAGTTACTTGTGCAAGCATAATATTTACTAAAATGGTTAAACAGAATGTGAATTTTAAAGGAAACTCCTTATTCCTGGAACAAACAAAATGTGTAATTGAGTTCAAGTCAATTGTATTGTTTTCGCATTTATTCAAATGATAAAGGATTATAATAGTGAATAGAATAATAACAACATGGAAGTATTTATAATAATATTCAGTTTCTCACTTTTTAGAAAACAAAATTAGATAATTTCAAATATACAAAAACTTGTCTGATTTTAATCAATCAGTTGTAATATACACACTTCATCTTTTAATACGCATTCTGTTGTTATAAAAATACATCTTATAATGAAATACATCTGTGGTACTGGTACGAATAAACTGCTAAATAAATCACTTTCTACTAGTGTACGAAAGTGTTTTTTAGGACACCAATGATCAACTAAAATAGCATAAATCGTATTTTTCTTTCAATATATTCAGTGATACTTCATTATTTATCATTATAAACTACAGATATTTAGAACGGAAGGTTATTAGAAACTTCAATCCGTAAACAAAAGAATAATTATATTCTGTGTTTCATAACATAAAAAAAGTGTCAATCAATTTTTAATATTCACACTGAGACAAACTGTGAATGCCTACAAGTCATCATGTGCTTTATTAAGAGGAAAACTCATGGCAAAACATTCAAATGTTTCTATAGATAAAAGTGTCTTATAATAGATGGAAACGTGATTTTTCGATTGTATTTGTGTTCTTATAAAAAGACAATCATTACCGTTTTTCGAACATGTAAGGACTATTTTGATTTATTCAACTTATAATAATCTTATCAAGTATTTCATGCATTACTAAATAAACTATTTACATGACTTACCCCATGCTGCAATCATCAAAGGATGCATATTCACTGACGGTTGAAATACTGAAACAACAATTAATTCATGTATATGAATTCCTTCAATAAATGTCCATGTGAAAACACAAGTTTGGCTTAATTCCCAAATAATTATCATAGTATTCTGTATAATTATATATGTCTACAATAAATATAACAAGTGCTCGTCAATAGTTATATTAGGTGAAACAATAAATATCAAAATAAATTATTTGAATCACATTACAATATGCATAATGATAGAACTAATTTCAGCGTAAGTTGTATATACAATTTATTTTGGATAAACTATACAGTCAGTCAGTCACAACATTGAACTTCATACGTACGTACATCAGTTCAAGTTGTCATGCCACATTAGAACAGAGATACAGTTGTCGATTCAAATCCCATAGTGGTAGAAGTAGTAAAAGTTTAAGCAGCAATGTGAAAGATTAGGGTTTGAAGATGTCATTGAAGGAGTATAATCCAATGAAATAAATTTGAAAAGAGAAAAAAGATAGGGACATGAAGAATTCAGATTAGATTTTGAGAGAACACAAAGAGTAGATGCACGTGCGCCATTTCAAACGATTTTGAGTCATGTCATTCAAGGTCTCTAACCATCGAGATAAACTATACACCTATAGCAAATTGAATACAGTAAGTGTATGTCTTATATATTCTTAACTTTTTCAATAAAATATTACAAAACACAATGACTATAATATTTGGAATCATTCATTTATCTATTCCTTGAAGATCATTTCCAAATTACTGTAAAACGGAAGATATTTCTATTTTCTGAATATAATACTTACTATTGAATTGAATCTACAACTTCTTCAAAGAGATAATCAAAAGTTGATATTATAGAATATTATACATCGTATGATTTGAAAAATCATCATTCTAAATATTTTTATAAAGTCAAACTTTAAATCATCAGAAAGGGTTTTGTGAGGATTTAGTATTTTCATAGTTGCAAGCGTGAGACCACCAGGGAAAACCTGGAAGCACTGGACGGCCGTTTCGTCCTATTGTGGGACTCCGTTAAGTGCTCCGGCGTGAGACTAATAGGTTCTAGGTTCGAATCTCGCGTGAAGAGCTTGTGGGTGCTCACTGCTGAGAAGTCCCACAATAGGACGAAACGGCCATCCAGTGCTTTTACGTTTTCTGTGGTGATCTAGCTTCAATTGATTCATGATCTCAACTATTGAAATAATGCATTTTAGCTTGAAAAAAATAAGTCAGAATTACTATAAATTTTATAAACAGTCAGTTTTTAATTTATTGAAGAAATATTAGATATCAATAAATAAATAATCTTAGTCTTTGTTATCGACTAAAATGATATTTTTGATTGAAGATAGTTGAGGGTGAATGCTACAATAAACTTTCCGAACTGCTTGTTACCTCCAACCAATGAATATCGGATAAAATCATTGAAACTAGTAGCTGCATTACAGTTTGATCGATAGAATTTGATAAACTCAAACAGATAAACAATATGGTATTTCTTTTAATGAATAGGTAGTAATTAAGTGTAGATTATTGAGTTTATATAGATTTCTGCATTCAAATATGCCTGTTAATGAGTAAGTTATGTAAAATCCTGTTTGTTTGTTTTCTACATTAATTTGTGTTTAAACAATATACTGTATAATTTATTTTCGCATGAATACTTATCAGAATTTTCGATGACAGTCTGATAGAGAACTCCGCCTGTAGCTCCTCCAGGGGCTACTGCCGGTCTCAAGCCCGGGTAAAGGAGGAGGGTTGGGCATGGGGTTAGCGACCCCACAAAATGCACTTATAGGATGGGAATCTCATGGACCGAGGATCATCAAAACCTCCTTCAAAACAAAGAGAGAGGGCATTACAATGAACATCATCCAATGCTATGCGCCGACCAACGACTACGATGAAGAAGCTAAAAACCAATTCTACGATAGGCTGCAGTCAATCTTCGAGAAGTGCCCAACCAAGGACCTGACCATTCTAATGGGAGATTTCAATGCCAAGGTTGGAAAGGACAACACTGGATACGAAGACGTCATGGGACAACATGGACTGGGAGGAAGGAACGAAAATGGTGAGAGATTTGCAAACCTATGTGCCTTCAATAAACTGGTCATAGGTGGCACCATATTCCCACACAAAAACATACACAAAGCCACTTGGATTTCACCGGATCACACTACACAAAATCAAATCGACCATGTCTGCATCAACAAAAAGTTCAGGAGGACGATGGAGGATGTGAGAACCAGAAGAGGAGCTGATATAGCATCCGATCACCATTTGCTGGTCGCCAAGATGAAACTAAAACTCAAGAAGCACTGGACAATGGCGCGGACAACATCACAAAAGTTTAACACGGCCTTTCTTCGAGATGCTGACAAACTCAACGAATTTAACATAGCCCTCAGCAACAGGTTCGAGGCCTTTCATGACCTACTCAATGAAGAGGGAACCACCATAGACAGCAGCTGGAAAGGTATCAAGGAGGCAATCGTTTCAACATGTCAGGAGGTTCTGGGCCAAAAGAAGCACCATCACAAGGAATGGATCACTGTTGGTACACTGGATAAAATTGAAGCAAGGAGGAACAAGAAGGTAGCAATCAATATCAGCCGAACAAGAGCAGAAAAAGCCAAGGCACAAGCCGAATACACAGTGGCAAACAAGCAAGTGAAGAGGAGCACCAGAACCGACAAACGTAAATATGTGGAAGATTTAGCGATGACAGCGGAAAAGGCTGCAAGAGAGGGAAACATGAGACAACTGTATGATACAACAAAGAAACTTGCTGGAAATTACCGTAAGCCAGAAAGACCAGTGAAAAGCAAGGAAGGCAAAGTAATCACCGACATTGAAGAACAACGAAACAGGTGGGTAGAACACTTCAAAGAACTCTTGAATCGACCAGCTCCACTGAACCCACCCAACATCGAAGCAGCACCCACAGACCTCCCAATCGATATTGGCCCACCAACAATTGAAGAGATCAGCATGGCCATTAGACAAATCAAGAGTGGCAAAGCAGCGGGACCAGACAACATCCCGGCGGAGGCACTGAAAGCAAATGTAACAGCAACTGCCAAGATACTCCACATCCTCTTCAGTAAGATTTGGGACGAAGAACATGTACCAACAGACTGGAAAAAAGGACTTCTCATCAAGATACCAAAGAAAGGCGATCTCAGCAAGTGCGACAACTACAGGGGCATCACTCTCCTCTCAATACCAGGAAAAGTGTTCAACAGAGTATTGTTAAACAGGATGAAGGATTCCGTGGACGCTCAACTTCGAGATCAACAAGCTGGATTTCGTAAGGATAGATCGTGCACAGATCAAATCGCAACTCTACGTATCATTGTGGAACAATCAATCGAATGGAATTCATCACTGTACATCAACTTTATCGACTACGAGAAGGCATTTGATAGCGTGGACAGGACGACACTATGGAAGCTTTTTCGACACTATGGCGTGCCTGAGAAGATAGTAAATATCATACGGAACTCCTATGATGGACTAAACTGCCAAATCGTCCACGGAGGACAACTCACCGACTCGTTCGAGGTAAAGACCGGTGTTAGGCAAGGTTGCTTACTCTCACCCTTTCTCTTTCTCCTGGTGATCGACTGGATTATGAAGACGTCAACATCTGGAGGAATACACGGGATACAGTGGACAGGCAGGATGCAGCTTGACGATTTTGACTTCGCGGATGATCTGGCTCTTCTATCACAAACGCAACAACAAATGCAGGAGAAAACGACCAGTGTATCAGCAGCCTCAGCAGCAGTATGTCTCAATATAAACAAAGAGAAAAGCAAGACTCTCCGATACAATACAATATGCACCAATCAAATTACACTTGACGGAGAAGCTTTGGAGGATGTGGAAATCTTTACATATCTGGGCAGCATCATTGATGAACACGGTGGATCAGATGCAGATGTGAGGGCGCGGATCGGCAAAGCAAGAGCAACATACCTACAACTGAAAAACATCTGGAGCTCAAAACAATTGTCAACCAACACCAAGGTTAGAATTTTCAATACAAATGTCAAGACAGTTCTTCTGTATGGGGCAGAGACGTGGAGAACTACGAAAGCCATTATCCAGAAGATACAGTTGTTTATTAACAGCTGTCTACGCAAGATACTTCGGATCAGATGGCCAGACACTATCAGCAACAAGTTACTGTGGGAGACAACAAACCAGATTCCAGCCGAGGAAGAAATCAGGAAGAAACGCTGGAAGTGGATTGGGCACACTTTGAGGAAATCACCCAATTGTGTCACAAGACAAGCCCTCACATGGAATCCTGAAGGTCAAAGGAGAAGAGGAAGACCAAAGAACACATTACGCCGAGAAATTGAGACAGACATGAGAAGAATGAACAAGAACTGGAAAGAACTAGAAAAGAAGGCCCAGGACAGAGTGGGTTGGAGAAAGCTGGTTGGCGGCCTATGCTCCATTGGGAGTAACAGGCGTAAGTAAGTAAGTAAGTAAGTCTGATAGAGTGATAAGAAATTTCAGATTGAAGGTAAGTCACATTCTGAATAAACAATGGATATTCTTTATTTCTGTTAGAATGCATGGTTGGTTCTAGTTGAGAACATAGTTTCTAATAAAATAAAACGAATAGACTTTCTTAATATGAATAATTTAAGTCATTTGTAATGTGTATCATTCAAAGTATAGAAGTTCAGTTTAGTAAATTGTACCATTAAAAATCATTAGAAACAGTTGTGATTTCCACATCTGAGTTTTTCTGAGATAAACACATAGCGTTTGACAGTAATACGAAGTATATCTCAAAACAAACTACAAGATTATGCAAATTATCTAAAAGTTATTTTTCATCATTATACTAATCATATTTTACGAAGGCTCTCAATGTATCGTAGTCACTATATGGATCAAAGATTGTCAAGTTTAGATGCAAGTGTGTAGCTGCAAGAGTAGCCAATTAGAGTAGGAAGAACCAGTTTGACTTAACAGTCCAGTTATTGTTCGTTGATTTTAATTGTTTCAGTTGATATCAGTCCGTGTTGAAAAACTGTTATTCGTTTTCAGAAAAAAACAAACCTAAGCATCACTTAGTTTTGTGATATAATCGAACTTCCTTGTTTGGTACACACTTTGATTTAAATTACAAATACTTTAATCTTGTTAACTAATAATGGTGGTTATTTATGATCATCAAACAGGAAAACATTGGATTCAAGTACTCATATCAGAGATAGGCAAAGATAATGTTTAAGTTTTAATTATTACTGTCATAAATAATTATAATTAGTTAAAGTTTGATGTCTTTTAAAGAGGTCAAAACTATTTAAATGTGTTTTCCTAATCTTATTTTCGTTAACAGGAATAATAATAGTGGTAACAATCGTAATCATAATAATTATTTTAAATACAAGTAGCAGTTAATCAATTCATATATAAAGACTTTCATTTAGCCTTCATTTGTTAAAAAAAGATAGCAAAATCAGTACGAACAAATCGTATCAATGTAGAAACTTGTGGAGATTATTAGGTTTTATCGAAATCATAAACAAAGTTAGACATCTATTGAAAACGGAAAAATATTGAACAGCTGTCTCGACATAGAATGTGGCTCATCAGACGTGTTCATCCACTATCCACTCAACGATAAATGAGCTCAAAACTCTTGAGGATGGTCAGGCAACGTCATGAATTGATTGAAATTAGACATGCGCACCAATGGATTTCATCTCCGCAGTCTTCAGGTTAGACGTTCACACTCAAGACCGAAGATAATGAGTTCGATTCCGCATAGAATTATTGCGAGTGTTTTCCTCTAAGGAGCCCTATACTAGGGTGAAACAGCTGTCCAATGTTTCCTTACTTTCGATAGATGTATAATTTAGGTTGATAGGGTTAACAAAATTAGTTTATAATCTTTTATTTAAAATGTCATTAGCCGTGACTCACAAATATTCAATATATTATTGTGTTGTCACATCGGTAGTGATTTTTTTCTATAAATACAAATAGACATTTTGGTTTTGTCAATAAAATTAGCATATTCATATTGCTGAAACTTCATTTATTTGGTTTAATCAGATCCCACTCGCTGAAATAGCTATAATTTCTGTGAGTTTGAACGAATCAGCAATGGATCAGAGTCATACGATCAGAAGTATTAAAATTATTTCCTTTTATTATGTTATTGTATATTTTATATTTCCTATCACTGTCAGTGATTTTATTAGCAGTATGGTAAACCCTGTATAATCAAGCATATTTCTTAGTTAATGGGGTTAATAAATTAGTTACAGACTCAATCGTTGTTTATTGTTCACCTACAGTTAAGGATAATGAATACATGGTTTGATGAATTTTTGTTTACTTGGTTCAGTCACAGCACACATTTGACTGACTTGATAAGTGTAATTTCACATAATCATATAGTATAGCCATCATAATAATTAATCCTCGAATTACTGAAGTGGTATAGGATACCTAAAAAGATAGGAATTTCCTCTTTTAGCTTAAAAAGATGTTGAGAATGTAATTTGCCCTAAGATATGGAATTAAAGCATGTACTCGAACTAAACTTATGTAAATAAACAGCTTTTTTATCAGATAGTCATGCCCATTCATTCATACCAAGTATTAGTTGTAGCATTAACCCTTATAAAAAGAACTATTTCATTTGAAATAGAATTCAAGACATCATGGCTCTACATCAGTATTTATGCCTAAAATTGAAAAATGTAATCTTAGGTTATGTGTAAATTACTCTTCTTCATTGAATATTATGTTTGAGGAAGTTATAGCAGTACAAATTCCTGTTGAAGATAAGATATACATTAGTATTGAGTCATGATAAATAGCTAGTTAAAAAGTTTCACCGTTCTTGTAAATTGGTTTTCTTTATAAGCTAAGTTCTTACTTGAAACAACATATGAAAAACTCTACACAGACTAGATATTGATTCAAACTCATATACTACTTTTGTGAAGACCGGGAGTTGAAATTATTGCATGTTGTGAAAACAAATAAACTATGGATTGCATTTTAAAAGCTCATTTGATTGTGAGATGACAGGGAGGACTTATTGCTTCAACGAATAATCTTGAAGTTACCGCGTGATCTAAACTGAATGAACAATTGTTTCTTTTGACAACATAATAAATTCAAATTGCGATAATAAGTCAAACTATGAGAATAGTCCCTATTAACTATTTCTACTGATAAATGGTCACTCCCATAATTTCGTTTATGTGATCTACTTAATAATTGCTTATCATTTGTTTTATTATTTGATATAATCTACTTCCATATGTTTACTTAATTCTGTTTTTTACTTGATGCATAACAAATCGTTTTGTAAGAAGAATTGTTTTCTCAGTGGACTCATCTTCAAAGCTGTATAGTCGGAAATACGTACTTTTCGTGTCTTTTTTTATTTTACTTTTTTCTGTTATCATTATTAACAAACCTGTTATTAATAACATTATTATTATTATTATTATTATTAACAGACATGTTATTGATTATTACTTTGGAAAATACGTATATATTTGAGACTGAATGAATGAGCTACAAATCTTCTCCACCATCTCAAAATCATTTTGCTGATAACTGATTAACTTTTAGTCTCAGTTTCATATCGCTAACTGTGAATATTATTTCTATAGGCAACCGGGGAAACCTTGCTTTAATCTACAATACAATGTATGCAAAGAGCTTTTTCAAGCCTTGATATTTAGGTCGGTCATCAGTCAGTAAATATTCTAGCTTACATTCTATCAGTCAGTAAGACAAACAATTCAGAAAATAACCGAAAATTCTGATCTTAAAGCAACGTATCAATAGTTTTATGCAATAGTTACAATATAATTACAAATGATCGGTGATCAAATAGTTATTCATCAGGACAACGCAATGAAACATACTCAGAGATATTCTGATAAGTTACCTTATTTACTTGAACCTGTATATTTATAGACAATAATAATGACCCAATGAATATTAGTGAGTGTATTAACTTTTGGTTAGATGGATCATTTAGCTGGCAATTGTACTTCACTTTTACGTTTACAAGAATACTATTAAACTTGATAACTTGTCGCGTTGTGTGAATTAATAAATCTATCTTGATTTCTCAATGAAACAAACTTTTATCACCATCCAACATGCTGGTAACAAACTTATTAAAGCTTGAAATTGATTGTAAAACTAGTAACGTGTATATTAGTGATTATTAATGATAAAATTGAACGAAATATTTTAAAACATACTGATTGTGAATTGAAACTGTACATGATCTCTTTTGGACTTAAAAATAGTTGATTCATTGTTTCATTTCCAATATTATTCACATGTATTTGATTAACTTTACTTAACAAAAGATAAGATAATATAAGCTGTGCAATCGATTCCAATAGTAATGCGAAGAATAAATGAAGATGTATTTTAAATCTGAAATTTCGTAAACATCTGAAAATAACAAGTAAATCAATATTGTACTTGCAAATTAATTCAGTTAGGAAATCTAATAGACTTTTCTGACAAATTCATCATTAAGGAAGTTTTCTCCAAATTTTTAGTTAGTTGTGATAACAGTGTGCTTAGGCCTGTATTCTTAAATTTCTCTTTATTGAGTCAGATATTTCAATATAGTACTAGATATTAGGTACCTTTTAGTTTACAGGGGTGGAAACTGCATTGGCTATCAAGCTGTGGAGAATTGAAGAAACAATAATGACATATTTATCGTTGTAATACATTGAATCTAGTCATAGTGTGAAACGTGGTAACAAGCGGTGTATTTACATAATACATATACATAGCTTGTCAATCAATCATCTGCATTTTCTGGTGTGTTCTGTAACCTGAACTGTCTTCTCCATCGACCTTTAATCTTTCTTCTAACTTTGTGCTTTCGATTTACTTAAACTCTTTACTCTGTCTGACAATTACTACGACTTCAAAGTCACATCCCGCTATACGCTACTTACGAAAAATCTTGTGAGTAGGGTCTACTACGATATGATGACCGCCCATGAAGCTATTTTCTAGGGGACACCAGAGTATGATAGTTTTTTGCATCGAAATATGTCTAAGCGTTTGGATGTAAAGTTAGACATCGGACTGAAGTTTCTTCTAATGTTTATCGTCGTCGATACTTTTGAAAGATACTTATATCAGTGATGCTGACAGAGGATTTTACATATGGGCAATTACTATGGATAATCATGAGGCCTTAAGAAGTAATAAGATTTTCTGCTCTAAGGTTATCTACTTGTAAATTCGAAGATGTAGCTATTAAAACTGGAACAAATGAATGCAATAAATTTATCAGATTTTAAAAGTGAACAAACAAATTTGTCATGACATTTCAAAGTTTCGATTGTGTATGAATTAACAGTAAAAATTTCCAATAAGTTGTATACATTGGTTAAGACAGGAATTTGAAAAGCGCATTTTATCTCATATGGGACTAGTCAGTTGGATATAACTCCATCAGTTTTGATGCTTGCGCTGAGACGCGAACCCATTCCCCATCACTTTCAATTCTGATGTATCATCCATTGACACGCCGGGACCAGAGAGCCAGAGGGGGATGAATTAATGTGTAAGGGTCAATATTCTTTCGTTGTTGATACGTTCAAATAGGTTGGAAAGTATATCTTTTATTTAATACTACTACTTAACTAGCTAAGTAACAGTGCAGCCATATCGGACAGTTTTTGATGATTTCAGGTAAGACGATAATTATACCGAGTAATCCTTATTTTAGTGCTTCAGATATGTTTTGTTCTGCTTTGATGAAGAGCTAATATTAAAGAAATATTTCCTCCCTAAAGTTGTATTCCGAGTGTCTAAGTGGAAATATTTGATTGATATTTTGAAACATAGAATTAGTCCATTTTTAGGTAACATAACAATTGACCCACTTAGATCACTCAACCTGAGACTCATGACTTAGCTAACGACGTTTGAAGCTTCGCGTTCTTTTCTTTGTAATGTCCGTTTCATCAATTAAGACCACGAATGGATTTTATGAGCAATATCAAATGAAAATAAATAATTAGCCTTCGGAAAGTTGTCGCTCTATCCACAAACATGGATGTAGATAAATTTCTGAGTATTTCACTTTCAGAAGACATTTTCAAAAGTAATTTTTGAATAAATAAGGATTCATTTTTAATTGTTTTCACTCGCAAAAATACAACTCGGAATAGCACTCAGAAGATTTATGTCTCATAGTGAATGTGGGACCAGATTATATTCAGTTGTATACATTCCCAACCCGTGATATTACTGGAGAAAATTGATGATTAATTCTTACGAATATCTGTCATTATTTACACGAATAGTTTAATGGGCGCCGATTTTGACTATCACCCTGAAGTGATTCAGATAAATTTGGTGGATAAAACGTTTGAATTTCTTAAAATTTCAATATTACTTATGACTGTTACTGCCAATGGAGCATAGGCTGCCGACTAGCATTCTCTAACCCAAAACTGTTCTGGGCCTCCCTTTCTGGTTCTGTCCAATTGTTGTTCATTCTTCTCATATCTGCTTCCGTTTCTCGGCGTAATGTGTTCTTTGGTCTTCCTCTCCTCCCTTGGCCTTGAGGATTCTAAGTGAGTGCTTACCTTGTGACGCAGTTGGGTGCTTTCCTCGATTTGTGTCCAATCCACTTTCAGCGCTTCTTCCCGATTTCTTCCTCTGCTGGATGGAATCTGGCTTGTTCTCTCCTACACTAGATTGTTGTTGGTAGTGTCTGGTCAAGGGATCCGAAGTATTTTCCGTTGACAGCTGTTAATAAACACTTGTATCTTCTGGATGATAGCTTTCGTAGTTGTTCAAGTTTCCTCCCCAAAAAGAAGAACTGTCTTGACTTTTGTATTGAAAATTCTGATCATGTTGTTAATTGACAATTGTTGAGTTGAGATCGAGATGTTCTTCAGTTGTAAATATGCTGCTCTTGCTTTGCCGATCCACACCTTCACATCTGCATCAGATCCACGGTGTTCATCAATGTTGCTGTACAGATATGTAAAGGTTTGCACATCCTTCATTGTCCTTCTGAACTCTTTTTTGATGCAGATAAGGTCGATTTGGTTCTGCCTAATGTTATCCGGTGAAGTCCATGTGGCCTTGTGTATGCCTTTGTGTGGGAATATGGTGTCGCAAATGACCAGTTTATTGAATGCACATAGGTTTGCAAATCTCTTACCACTTTCGATCCTTTCTCCTAGTCCATGTCATCCCATGATTTCTTCGTATCCGGTGTTGTTCATTCCAACCTTGGCATTTAAATCTCCCATAAGAATGGTCAGGTCCTTTGTTGGGAACTCGACGATCGACTGCAGTCTATCGTAGAATTAGTCTATAACGTCTTCCTCGTAGTCATTGATAGGCGCATAGCATTGGATGACGTTCATTGTAATGCCCTCTCTCTTTGTTTTGAAGGAGGCTTTGATGATCCTTGATCCATGGGATTCCCATCCTATAAGTGAATTTTATGCTTGTTTGGACAGCATCAATGCAATTCCTTGTGTATGTGAGACATTTTCTTCTTCATGGCCGGAGTATAACAAAAGCTCCCCTGAAGCTAGTCTTTGTTGTCCAACCTGCGTCCAATGTGTTTCATTGATTCCAAGCACCTCCAAGCTGTATCTTTCCATTTCTGTAGCAATTTGGAAGACTCTCCCGGTCTCACACATTGTATGAACATTCTATTTAACTAAATTAATGGTTGTTCTGGTTGTTAGAAGGGGTATCAGCCTCGTGACTTCCGAAAGAAATTCGGTTTTTCATCATGAGACGTCATAACTCTTCTAAATGAAGACCTTTAAACTCCCAGGGCAGGGTTGAAATGGTTTGAATAATTTTTTCTGGTTAGCGTTTTCTTAGCGTGTTGGTTTTCTACGGGATGGGGTCGCTAAACTCATGCCCAATCTTCCTTCTTTGTCCGGCCTTGGGACCGACAACTATGTATTCTTCGGTAGAAATGTACCGTCGATTTGACTTGATTATGTCGATTTCTATCCTGTGTAAAGTCCTGGGTTCAGACTAATAAAGAATCAGAAACTAGGATTCACATCAGTCCGTGATGAAAACTTAATTCAAAATGAACAATCTATATAAATTCCCTATTGACAAATTTTATTATTAATAACTCTAGTTCATAAAAGATTAATGTTTGTCAAAATTTTGTTAAATCCGTAATTAATATTAGAAATAAACACATATAGCCTACGTTACACTAATACTTACGGATATACTGTGTATATAAATATAGCAGTTAACATGCTGCATATTGTAATTACTGAACCAACTGTCCCAATTCCTGTCCAGATAAGCTTGGTTAATTCAATGAACTAGATAATTAATCATTAAATACATGATAAACAGGAAACAAATCGAATCCGAATGCATTTTTTTTTACGTAGCTTTTACTATTAAACTGATTATATAAATAAAAATTATGATCACTCTGTGATATTTATTTATTTATTTGAACATATAAATATTTGTACAAAGGGGTACCAGATTCATATGCTCCGCACAAATCTTATTTGATATGTGTAAGGGCTGTGATACTACCCGGGTGCCCAAACCAAAGCAGGTGGTTTTCATAGGGGACCACACCCGAAGCCTTTGACATAAAGATCTGATCCACAAGGCAGTGGAGCATCGTAAGGAAATGCCGTCCCATGGTAGTCGGTGACCAACGATTGATTCATATGCCATTTGTTCACTCAGGATACTAAAGCTCATGTGCATCATTGGTTTGGAATCAGGGTTTTCCAACTCCCCTAGGTGGACTTTTCGTGTCCACCAACCTGATTAAAGCGCCGGACATTCGCTTTTCGTCCTCTCAATTTCGCAAACAACAGTGAGTAGGACTTCCCTGGTAGAGGCTATATACGCGTGGCCATGTAAGAGCATTTGGAGAGGGAGAGCGGACTCTCCTCACTCTCGGCCGTACCAGGGCATTTGGGGGCATATATATATGTATAATTTTCTGTTTTCATGAATTGTGGTTGATCCTTTCTCAAAATTGTAGACTGATATAAAAATAATGAAATCTTCTTCCCTCTGTAGCTGAAATATTTTATAATATATGAGTTACTCATAAAGAAGTAATAATTCCATAATGTTGCTGATATATTTTATTAGTGATAAGGATGAAACTTAGCTTAAAATTTGGCATCAAACTAAATAGTATACTCATTTTAAAACTACTTAGACTCACTTCAGTGTTATCGGTTTTTGTAGAATTATTGGAACTTATGTGTGATCCAGTGCATTCATCATTATTTGTGCATGATTTCGAAGGACTTTTCACTAATGTATGTTCATAATCTTTCCTGAAGCAATAAGAATGAAGAAAATATTGTATCATTATTAAAATATACTAAGCAAAATGGTGGTATTAGTTTTAAACATAGCTTGAATATGGTCTTAGTATAATTACAATGGCTCTTAGAGATGTATAACAAATATTCTTCCTAAAAATCTATTCGATTATGTTTAGAACTTAACCCATTATACTGTATTTATAAACGGAAGGAATAATTCGCTATCTATAAAAATATCAGTAATCTATAAGAAGGATGAGATTTAATTGACAAAGTGAAATGGATGTTATAATATTTCATAGCTTTATACCTCTAGAATTTTATCTATCAGTATAAGAAAAGTTAATTATCTTTATCGTGACTTATGAAAATGATATAAAACCATGTAAAGTTTTATGGGTGATTGAAATAAATGGCATGTTTAAAGAAAATTGTAGTTCAAGGTATATGTAAATAAAGTTACTATGTAAGAAATACCGTCAGTTACTGGAAGTAGAAAACCAGTAACACTAAAACTATAAAGGATTAGTATTAAATAGTTAGATATTATATAATTCTACATTTAGCATGGAAATACTTTTCTTCATAAAAGTAACTAGCTTCAACAACATACTGCAATTACATCTCTTTATATGCCTCATATAGTAACAGACCAGTACCACAGTACTTTTTTCATAAATGAATACGATCGGATAAATGCTGTAACGATATAATGAACTTGCTTCTGATGATCTGTATCAAAAAATAAATTTTAAAATTTAAAGATAAATAAAGTCATAAAGTGTTCTGGCTTCATAAATCTTGATAAAGCGTAAACAATCATTTTAGGCGGTTAATTTGAATTTCTAAGATTTCTTCCAACTAATTACAAATAAGAACAGCGTAATTGCAAAATGTCTACAAAATATAAGTTAGCTTCGGATGAATTAACAAAGTGTAGAAATTTTAAATAAATACATTAGTAATTACAATAGTTGAGATCATAAATCAATTGAAGCTAGACCACCATGGAAAACCTGGAAGCACTGGAAGGTCGCTTCATCCTATTTTGGGACTTTTCATCAGTGCGCATCCACGATCCCACCTCACAAGATTCTAACCCAGGACCTTACAGTCTCGCGTGCGAGCGCATCGGTCGACATCCAACGGTGTTAATGTCTAACTCCAACCAATCCACGAAATTGAGCGACACATCCACCATTGTCTTCGGTGAGTTACCATCTCCCACAATAAGACAAAACGATCATTCAATGCTTCCAGGTTTTCTATGGTGGTCTAGCTTCAAATGATTCATGATCTCAACTATTAAAATTACTGTAATATCAGAAGGGGCGCGCGAAACTGATAGGTCGTGGGTTCAAATCTCGGAGACGGGATCGTGGATGCGCACTGCTGAGGAGTTCCACAACAGAACGAAACGGCCGTCCAGTGCTTTCACGTTTTCCATGGTGGTCTAGCTTCAGTCGATTCATGATATCAACTATTAAAATTACTATAATATCCACAAAAACCCCTTCTGATATTAAATACATCAATAATTTAGAGTAATTAGAATTCGAGAAAACAAATAATTAAGGTTATAACGCTTTTCAAAGATATAATTTTTAATTATAGAATGATTTATTCATTAATGTGGAATTTACAAACAATTAAACAGGCACAAATTTTGGTTCCATTTTGAAATAATTACAATCAGTGTGCTAAGATCAATCATAGGAATACAACATATAACAGGATGGCTGAAATAATTGTAGTAATGTTAATAATAATAAGGTCGTCTGAATATAATATGCATTAAGAGAAATATTTTCAGTGTAATTATGATAATGATCATAAGAAATTCACGTGAAATGAGGAAAATTAACACACATTTCAAAATAAGAGAAGGGCGGAGATAAATTTAAAAAAAGTGGTAAGAGTTAGGAGGATGTAATATGTGGCTTATGTACAGTGTGACCCACACATTGATCGTGATAAACAGTGATGGTGTATATACCTTTTTTGAATACATAGGAAGGAGCTAATCTCGATGACCTCAGTTATTTAGAGGAGGCTTAATCTTGTTAATTTTAATAGATTATTCGAGATTTGACATGAAACCATGAGAGATTTTTCTAATCTATTGTGACATTTACCATTAACTAGATGAGTATGAATGCATTCTGTACTTCTGAATAAAACCATAAATTTCATTCATTACTTAATTTTGCTAGGCAGGGCACAATTAAAACAGACCGGATTTCGATAACTATAAAAGAAACTCCATCAACAAGTGTATACAAAAAATCATACTGTTGTCATATTTGGATTTAAAACAAATTATTACTCAAGTTAAAGTGGTTTTTATTTTACTAAATACTTAGCTATAGGTGATTCTGTTGGTCTAAAGTCAGTTTCACTCCTCAATGTATTTTGCCCTGAGAAAAATGGAAGCTGAAATTACATTCTACAGCAACATAATTGTAGTACACTAGGGTGACTTCCACTAAAATTTTTGTTCATTTCTTTTGACGAAAAAACTCATGTTTTATATTCTATGACATTGTTAATTTGGATGCTCATATGATAAATTGAATCAGATTTATAAGGAAACAAGGAATAAAGATGAAATGAATGTTGACGCATTTTTTGCGTGGTCATTTAAAAATTTTACGGAAATAATACCCTTAATTGTAGGGTTAATTTACCAGTGTAAAACTTCTCATATTTTGTAGGAATTTTGAGAGTAACCCACCAGCTAGTTGCAGACATCGTGTAGTGAATAAGAACACGAGCGGTTAAAATTACAGACTATCGCACTAAATTCTGATAACCATACAGTCAACAGTTCATTTGCAAAATAACAATCAAATGTCTCAATCTTAACTCTTCTTCTGCAAATATCAGTCCGTCTTCTCTGATTTCATTGTTCATGCATTTTCATACTGATTGCGCTTCATTAATGTTCTTTCCTTATCGGTCTTCTACCAAAATACATTCTATGTCTGATCACCACCATATACTACTTATGTGGATATAAGTAGACCACACAAAAATATTATAATTTACTAATTTGTAAATGGTTTGGATATTGAGATATATATTAGCGGTAGAGAACATTCAAAACTCAAATGTTTGTTTCAAACATTTTCTGCTAACTAGAAATTAAGAGTTTTTACTTTGAACAATTTATAGTTTTTCGGGTATTGTAATATAAATAGTGAAGTCTAAAATCTATTACATAGAAGTCCCTGGTGCAAATTACACAACTAATTCAATTATCTATCAATTTCACTTTTCATTAGCGTAGAGAAAAATCGGCCTCTCATTTAAAACATTTTATATAGCGTGAGCGTAATTCACTACTGCTGAACCAAACAAATGGCAATATCTTAAAAGAGAAGATATATAGAATAGGGGTTCAAACATTATTTAAGTATTTAGTTATTCCTGGCTTGGAGATTATGTACAGCACACACACAGTATTTAAGGATCATGTAAGAAGAAGTGAATGTTCATTCACGTACAGCTCTGTTTAATTTTGTTCAAATGAGTTGGCTTTGGATGTTACAAGGGAACAATTCCTAACTGTATCTCAACTAGACGTAACCGACTTCCTATACTTAATATCCGTTGATCAGATACCATCAGCAACAACCTACTGTGAGAGAGAACAAACCAGCTTCGATTTGAAGACGAAGTTAGGAAAAGATGTTGAAAGTGGATAGAAAATAAATTACGGAAATCACCAAACTGCATTACGAGGCGGGCGTCAACTTGCAATTCTGAAGAGAAACAGAAAAGAGGAAGGCCAAAGAACACACTGCGTCGTGATTTGGGAGCGAACATGAAAAGGATGAATAGCAACTGGGAAGAACTGGAAAGGAATGTTTAAGACAGAGTTGGATGAAGAATGGTGGTAGTCGGCCTAGACTCCTTCATGAGAAGTAACAGGTGTAAGTAAGTAAGTAAGTAAGTAACGCTCTAAGTTCTTTTGGTACATTTTAATTTAATGGGAAAATATGAAATTGGCAGACATTTATTTTGTTTTAAAAAAGGCGTTTGCTTGAATGACTAAAGGTTCTAGGTTCGATTTTGACGTGAGAGGTCGTGAGTTTATACTGCTGAGGAGTTCCATACTAGAATGAAATGGCTGTCGATTGCTTCTAGGTTTTCAATAGAAGTCTAGAATTGATCCGTTGATGATTTCATAGGAAAAACTATGACTTCACTGAACTAGCAAGTTAGTTTAGTCAACTCTTGAAATCAATACAGCAGTAGTTTTTTACATTGGCTAACATTTCAAACCAACTACTGACGAAAAAGTAATTTTTAATATAATTAACTTTTTTATTTTAGGCCATTCTATTATTTATTGAATTTCTAAAGAAGAGTACCCGTAGAATTCTGTAAGTACCCTAGTACTGTAGAAAGACATTTTTAAGTTAAAATTTAATGCTGGATATATAAATCTAACCAGTCATCATAAAGATAGTGAAGTGTTTGGTCAGTTCATCATGTTATGTTGACAAATGAGATCAAAGATTCTATTTATTTGAAATGTCCCATATCAACATAAAAATTAAAAACAGGCTTACACTGATATCTAAAACCACACGAGACATTTCTCAGAATGACCACCTCAGTAGATGTCTAGACATTGTTTTTACGGACATTCATAGGCATCCTACGTAGTAAAGACTGTTAGTAATAAAAATGCTTATTGTACATACAAGCATCATATGCAGAAACTTTATGTCAACTTAAGACATACTGATAACTTTATACTGATAAACAGTGAGTTATTTTTAAAATAAGCTATTCTATTAACGATGTAAAATAAAGATGTGATTTATTCACTCTAGTATCAGTATAATGGGGAACGAAAACTCACGTGGGAGTCAAACAGTTTATTTTCATACAAAATTTCAGAGTTCTTTGGTAAAATATGAAAACGATGCATTACATACTTCATTTGCAAACCTTCCATCAATTATCTCAATGTTTATCGTTCCTTCATTGTTATTACAATTAATCTCAGTTTACATTCTCGTTCTCTTTGATTCGATCTTCCCAACCTTCTGCTGCCAAGCATTCCACTTCTGGCTGGTGTTGTATACTACTTATGTCGGCATAAGTAGCATACACCACAGTATTACTTTATATATGAAAATACCAACTAGACAAATTGCTTTATCAGATATAACCGATAGTATAGGTAAAATTTGAACTTCGTATTAGTTGTGCTTATGGATTAATTATTCAGCTACTAGGTTCTGAATAATGGAAGAGGACAAACCAGCTTCCAGCTGAAGAGGAAATTAGGAAAAGACGTTGAAAGTGGATAGGATATACATTACTGAAATCACCAAACTGCATCACGAGGCAAGCCCTAACTTGGAATGGTGAAGGGAAGCGGAAAAGAGGAAGGCCAAAGAATACAATAAGTCGAGAATTGGAAGCAAACATGAAAAGGATGATTGTTAACTGGAAAGAACTGGAAAGGATTGCCCATGACAAAGTTGGATATAGAATACTTGTGTGCGGCCTATGCTCCTCCACGAGGTGTAACAGGTGTAAGTAAGTAAGGTTCTGAACAACTTTGTAGATTGTTTAGATCAAATACAAATATTAAAAAATGAAGATCTTTATTTCTAACTACTCAAAGCTGGTTTTGTGTGTAGAGTGATAGCTGATCATGTAACTTTGATAAAAATATGAAGATACTTGTGGTAAAATAAGTATTATCAGTAAAAGTGAGTGTGGATAATTTCAAAATGATAATTTTAAACGATCTAACATATGTTTACGGTCATAAATAAGGACTTACATGAAAGGTTCTAAATTTGATAGAAAAATTCCTTATCTGATATTTAAAAGTTGAACTGTTTCTTCAAAATTTAAACTAAAAATGTTTTTACTATGTCATATGTTCGGGAATTATTTTATAACGAACATAACTATTCTCTAATGATTGGATGAAATGCCATGTTAAATCTAATTGATTTATCTTGTTCTGATGCCGATCTGTGAATCGTTTTCCCCTATTGTTATATTCTAATGATAAATAAATGAATGGTAATTGCTGTGATTTATTTATGGTCTATTATTACAAATATTCTTATTGGATAATTATTCAGTAACTAGATTATATATGTGTATATTTGTATTTCTATGATCATAAGCTTTCGTTTGACCTATCGATTATTATATGGTTTACTATTCTTATGGTTATTCTCAATCTTTTAGTCACAGCCTCTCACAATCACAGACACTTTTGACTTGATCTTGTATATTTGTTATTTTCTATTTTATGATATGATGAAGTCCGAATTGCTTGTATATAAACTGCGTATGTCTGAAATACATGATTCATATAGTGAAGGCTGAGATTATGTTCTGGACTCAACAGTCAGGGCAAGGCAAGAAGAACCAATAAAGATTAAGAGTTGACTCAAGGCTGCTCGTGCTGGTCAACGCGTCATTGGTTTTACACATGGACAAAGTCGTATAAGCCGGTATTCTGACTGGTCGTTTTGTCACGTGAAAATTAACAGGGCAAAAGACATAACACCTATTAAATTATTTAATTTATATCTTTTCCAAATAAAACAACTTACTGATGAAAAATATTTGTTGATTATAATGTGAATATTAAATATGGTTGCTATCCAGAACAACACGATAAACTACTTCAAATGCAATAAGCATATTCAATCTTTAAATGTAAATACCTTCACATTGAATACGTGTATGTTATTTGTATACTGAAAGTGAATTATGTTTACTTATCCAACAAATTCTGACTGTTAATTATTATTATTACACTAAAAGAGACTGAACTAATTTACGAATAAATGAATAAATATTGATAAAAAATTATTTATATAAAATCTAATTTCATAGATCAGAGTTTTCTTATTGTGTTTCAGAAAAAAAATCCAATAACTGTCAACTTGTTCACAACCAAAAGTAAAAAAAAAGTTAATGTTCATAAGGGAATGTTTTTTTTTTGAAGTTATGTTATCGACTTTCATTAAACTGTATCAAGTTTTAAAAAGAAAAACACACATACACACAAGAATATTGAAGCGAAAAATATCTGTAGAAGCATCAATTTCAAAGAATAGATCACTTTCAATGAATTCATTATTAAGCGGTACAATAATATACATATATTTGTATTATGAAATTAATCCTCAAAACTCATACATGAATACATATATTTTGCATAACGAAATAATAAATTTATTTTCATAGTTAAAAGCATCAGTCAATTGAAGCTAGACCACTATGGAAAACCTGGAAGCACTGAACGGCTGTTTCGTCTAGCTTCAATTGACTCATGCTTTCAACTATGAAAATACTAAAATCTCCACAAAACCCTTTCTGAATAAATTTATTGAAAATAGATTTCTTTGATGAATAACTAATTTTAAGTTGTACATTCATTGAAAGAGAAAACACATTGTTTAAAGTCGAGAAACTATCACTGCAAAGAATATTCTAATTGAAGCCAGCTGAATAACTAAAATACTACTGCAGTTACTTATATAGATCCGAATAATTCAAGTTTAATAAATTTACTTAACATGTAAAGTGTTACATAGTTAATAGAGTTTATGTTTATTTGAAAGTGAAACTAATATGAGCTTTGCTTATTAATGCATGATTACTGTAAATGAGTATTAAAATACGGTAACATCGAGGCTACAAGATGAATTATCTGGAATAACCACCTTATTTTGTATTTATCAGTTCCACTGCTCCTGTGGAGTAATTTATGTAGGTCGAAGTCCTAGGAATTTACCTTTTCGTGATCGCGAACACCTCCCAGCGTGGCTAAGCAAAGGTCTGGTGAAGAAAGTAACAACTCTATATTGGTCCGTTTAGTACAAACCGGTCATAGTGCCAGTATAAACCAATCATTTTTCGGTTATTTATAGGGTTAGTAATTTTTTGCTAAAGCTTGTCAGACTTAAAATCCTTCAAACTGTTTAAGCAGTAGCCATCCGGATGAAGAAACCGGAGCTATGTGTACAGACGAAATATCTTCAATCACTTCTCCTCCCCTGGCCATCCTCAAGGTCAATTAAGCAACAATAATCTTAGCTACTGAATGAGCTAATTTGACTACTGTACTTACAATTTTTTGCAGTCAAATGTAGTCGTCTCAATTATCTTTATTCACATTCTTCATATTATTATTATTGTTAATATTATTATTATTTGCTGAACATCATTAATAATCTACCCAATAAATGATTCGTTTATTTCACATTCATCGTACCTCATTATGCATTACTAATATTTTTTATACAATATAGTCTTCCATTAAATATTTGATCGAATTTGTAATTGCACTATTATTTCTCTCACCCTATCTGACCCATATTTATTCTGATCATGGATCCTAAAATTTTCACTCAACATCAAGTACATTGTACATACATATGAACATTAAATTATTATTCAATAAGAAAAATAGACTCATATATTTGTTATTTAAACAAAATTTCTCTATGATTTTTCATTTGATTTTATGATTAAGTTTGATTTTTATAATAGTGATACTGATAAAAGCAAGTATAACAATCTATTTCATTTAATTTTGCATAGAAAGGACTTTGTGGTGAAAGAGAAAGCATTTGATTAGGTCTACTTTCGTCAAATCGCTAAAAATATTCACTCACTCATTGTTCAGAAGAACGAGTAAAGCTCTACGACCAAACCATCCAACTCAGAGAACAAAATTCCATCAAATTACAACCTTCTTATTCATCGAACTTTTGATAAAACTATGAAACTGAAAGTTTTGACATAAGTGACAATGTAACTGAAATTCATTTAATTAAGATGCATCGTACTGCATAAATAACTCCAATGTATCAATCTTCTCCAGAAACGCTTACTAGGCTTCACCATATTACTATGGCTATACTAAGAAATTTTCATAAGGGTTTAATTAAAACACTCATTTCTCATCTTCATAAAAAACGAATTTTTTTCTAAAAAGGCATCTTCATTAATATCATGTCTTCATTAAAGAAAAAAATTAACAATTTAATTTTTTATGTAGTTGAAATCATGAGTCAATCGAAGCTAGACCACCAACGAAAACCTGGAAGTACTGAACGGCCGTTTCATCCTAATGTGGGATTCCTCAGTAGTGCATATCCACGTTCCCGCCTCGCGAGATTCGAACCCAGGACCTAACAGTCTCGCGCCAGAGCACTTAACAACAGTCTTAATCAATAAAGAAAAAAAAGATGATAACTCTTTGGAAAGTCCATCTATTGATAAAAATCAAATCATAAAGTTAAAGAAAAATGTTTTATATTATACTATTCTCACAACATTATTGAATATATTTAATTAAATTATTTAATAATTATAAAGATGATTGAATGGGAAATATAAATTTGTTCTTTAATTAAAAGAAATTATATAATACACATTGGATATATACAGCGAAGAATATATACATTCCATCAAGGATAATCAGGGGGGAATAGTCAATACGTTAATTATTTCTTATTGGATTATTATATGATACAAGAAAATAGTAAGAATCTATTATGAAATATTTTGATAAATCAAATTAAACAAACTGTAGAAAAAGGAGGATTTCTAGATTTGTAAAGATTACATTATAAGCTACAATTGAAATGAACAGAAGAAGTTTAAGATGTATGCACTGACGGACTATGTAGACTTTTACTCGATTATAACAAATATTTAACATTTTAAAAAAGCTATGAATATCTTAATCATTGACCTAGGGTTTTAAAAGATAAGATGAAAACATAAATTTCGTTGAATATTCTTGGGTATCAGTACTTTTTTCTGTGTTTGTGGTTGTGATTATTTTATAATTAAATAATGTAAAAGATTTCTGTTGCGCATGAGAGGAAATAAACCGTGTAACTTCTACATAAAATTTACAAATTTTGGAGAACAAAATTGTGATTCTTATTTTTAAATACATTTTAGCCTAGTGGGAAACGAGTTAATCTTGACAAATCAACAATAGATTGATTCAATAATATATTCACTTTAGTTATCATATTTAGGCTTGAAAAACTTGTCGTTGATTAACATAATCTAGGAGACCAATAAAACATGAGAAATATTCTATACTAACTTGGGACTTCTTATTAGTGTCTCTGCTTTAAAGTTTCAATTCTTTGAGTGAATGCAATACATACACTTATATTGGTAAGTTTAAGTCAGTTAGCTCAAATTTTTACCTAAGTTAGTTGATAATAATTTGTGATCAACGTTTAATATCATTCAGGCCTAATGCCAGGCGAGCTAAACTAATTACTGCTTATCACTGGAAATGTTGAAAATCTTCTCCCAACTTAGCGGCTATTGATTGAAATCGGAATAAATTTGTTAAGATATGGTCCTTGTCAGGTATTTGTAAATATAGAAACAATGATGATGATCAATGAATTATTTCGGTCTACGTCTAACGAAATTGACTACATGAATAATTAATTCATACTGTTATTGAAAGAACTCAAAAGTTATGTTATTGTTTAACATCAACCAACATACAGTAATCTGCTTTATTGTATGTAATGCATAATGTAAATCAGAAGTAATCACGTTTTTCAAAATCACGTTACACATTCTTCTAAGTGCTTTCTTCTCCAATAGTCTCTTCATGAAATTTCAAGCTATATTTATTCATAAGTGAAGGGTTTCTTCAGGATATCCAATCACCTTTGAATAACAGCCAGTTTACTGAAATCAGAACCTCCAGTTTTTCAAATACTAGTTCTAGTCCCCTTGTTCCCGGTAAAATAATTCCTAAGAATATTTCTGTACCTGAATCTTTTTCACAAGTTGAAAAGTCCTTCAAATGCAAAATATTTATTGATAGTAACCATATATAATTTCCAGGTTTTTCGAAATACTTTGCGCTAACTGTGCACACAACAGGCGGACCCACTAATGATAAAAAAGTCACTACAGTATTTCTATACTGTATGGATTGAAAGTACTAATAAAAAATTATGACTAATATTTTGACTCTATCCTACAT